TCAGACCGCAAATCTCTACTGCTAGGTACCCTTGAGTGTTGTTTGGGTCTGGAAGAAGGAACAAGGACATGCATTCCATTTGCATATCAAAAGTCTTTTATTTCATCCCTGTTCTTCAGAGTGGTTGAAACCCTTTCAGCAACCCTCCTTTCAGTTCCATGAATCCATTTCATTTTCTGAATTTTCCCCATCTCTTCAGATCCTCCAGAGTCATGCTTGCAATTTCATTCAAGCTGACCATCCGCCCTACACTCATTTACAATATTATTTGGCAATTTCCCACATATGCCTTTTCCATGTTATTACACTTTCCTTCAGAACCACTATTCTGCATTTCCCATAGCAACTTAGAAAAGAGTTGGTCCATGATAGATTCTCAGTAAATAATTGTTAGGTTCAATTTGGTTTCTTTCCCTTCCCGTCTTTCATTAGGCATTGGATGTACTAGCTCCTTGAGATCCACTATTTATATTTGAAGAACCATTTTAACAGAGGATTAATTAAAGGAGTTTGTTTCTCACATACTAGGGTGAAAGATCCCGGATGATCTTCATTCCGAGAGGTCATGCTTGGCTTTGGGTCCAATCCATCTTATCTCTTTAGTTGTAATTCTTGCCTGGTGGGGTGGATGGAGCACACCAAGTAGCAGGTTATAGGACAATGGAACAGCTGAGACCTCTGATGCCTCTCAGAGACTCTTCACATTATTTGTTAATTTTGGTCTTTAGATCCTGGGAACATGATCATACTTTATGTAGTGAAGACTGAGAAGTATATTCTTTCTTCTAGGTGACTGGCATTGTAGCACTGTCGTCCCGTTGTTCATTGATTTGCTCGAGTGGGCACCAGTAATGTCTCCATTGTGAGACTTGTTGTTGCTGTTTTTGGCATATCAAATACTCCACGGGAAGCTTGCCAGGATCTGCCATGCGGGCGGGATACTCTTGGTAGTTTGCCTGGCGCTCCGAGAGGGATGGAGGAATAGAACCCAGGCCGGCCACCTGCAAGGCAAACGCCCTACTTGCTGTGCCATCACTCTACCCAGGTGACTAGATGCCCTGGAAAATTAGAGTAAAATTTATAAACAGCATTGTCTTTTTCATTTTAAATTATAATTCACTATAAAAGAAAACACGTTCTACATGGTACTTTAATGAAAGCTGCATGCACATAGAAAAATTAAATTTTTAAATAATTCTTTTTCCCCTTTTTTGTTCTTTGCCATGCATTTGGCAGGGCTGAGGGTTACTCCTGACTCTTAGCTCAAGGTTCACTCCTAGCAGGGCTCAAGGGTGGTACGGGAAACTGAACCTGGGTCAAATACATGCAAGACAAGTGTCCACTGCACTACTGTTCTGGACTTTGAAATAATTCTTATCCTTACTTTGAATAACACATTGCTATATATTATACTTTATAAAAATAAATGTTTTTTAAAAGGACCTAGAGCATGTTCTTGCATGTAAAATGCACCGGGAAAGAAGGATAAGTGAAGAATGTTAAGAGAGCAATTAAGAGTCTCCATTTTTGGAAGGAAGCATTGGGTCTGATCTTGGGCAAGATAATGTACTGCATTCTCTTCAGTGTGTATATCACAGTACTAGTCACTGGATAGATGCAAGGAAGTAAATAAATCAATAAAAGCAATCAGTTCATAAATCAATCAAGCGATCAATGAAATCTTAGAGAGTACAGGTAGAATCTCTACTGACACGTGAGACAAAAATAACTGAAGACTAGAGAGGTCTTTTCATCAAAAGCTTCACTAAGGATGATAGGAAGAGGAGAAATTCCCTTTGTCTTTTAATGTGGTTTGAGAATAGATAAAATACACACAAATATCCATCACATTGATCTTCTGTATTTTAACAGATAATTCAGCTCAAATCCAAATTGATCTCATTTTAATTCTTTGTCATGGCCTCAGATTTGTGTATCATGTCAAGCACAACCTCCTATATTCATTGTGCATCTCCTAAACTGTCCTAATTTACTTTTGTACTAGATTAATTTATATAACAGATCTGTCATTTTTTCTGTAGCCTTCAAATTTGAGGGAAACCTCATATCGTGTGATGCTTTACCCTTGACAGGTTGAACTGACTTTTGTCAGATACTTGACAGGGAGAATGAAACCTACAACTTGAAGAATATTACACTGCATTTGTTTTTGGAGAAACAGTTTGGGATGAGTTTGAAATGTTTCTAAAATGATGTCATAGCCTATGCTTTAAAGCAGACCCCAGGTCTTTTGTGCTTCAAGCACCATTGGTTTCTTGCATGCCGGTGGGGGCATTGTCATTAATTAATTGCAGGCTAATTGTATTAGTGGGCTCCTGTGACAGCATTTTCAGAGCTTTCCATTTGGGTAAACAGTGCAGTTCTATTACCTTCATGGAAAGATTATTTGGGAAGTGGCACGTGGAAGGCTACCTTTATGTTTTTGCTGCAACCAGGGCCCCTAAGCTCTTGGTTCCAAGGTTGGGGTTGCCGATACTGCTCACAACTCTTTCACTGCTGGAAAAGGCCCCAGCCCACCACTTTAAGCCTAATGAGCTACCATAGAAATCAGAAGTTTTTTTTACTGTCTTACAGGCAGCTAAAAGGCTTCTAGAGAAAATGAGTCAGTGTGCTCAGTCTTGTTTTCATTCCACATCTCAAAGCTCATCCGGATCAGCATCTGTGTTTGCATCCTCCAGAGAGAGAGAGTGAGGCTAATTACTGGACAAAGCTGGGGATTAAGCTTCCCTCTCACCCTTCGAAAGGAGTAGTCTCTTTGGAACAGGGTTTCAGGCTTATTAGGAGAGTTGTAGAGAGAGAAGGTGTTACCTCTGGGCAGCCATTCTCAAACTTTGTGGAGAAAGGGCTGAAATGTAGAGGCCTTTTCATCAAGCACCTTTGGCAGCCACTAGAAACCCTGGCAAGTTCCCTAAAGATGGCGTATCTCTTGCCATATATTTAAGCAATAAGATGTGACAGGCACTTTATTTCACCGGGTCCATGCACCTTGAATGCGTTATGTGGCATAAGGCCAGCGCACAAATGACTTCAACTCTCGTGAAGAGCAATATTCTTCCACAAATGCATTAAGATCCTTGCATGGGCTTATTAGTACTAAGGCATGAAAATTACTTGAAAACTAAGGAGGAAGAGAGGTTTCCTAAGATAGGTGGTGAGAGGTCACCATCTTGACAGCCAATAAGAAGCTTCCATTTGCAAATAATGTTCCAAAGACTCATCTTAATATAGTCAGGCTAGAATAGGGCTCTGTATCCAAGCACACCTAGCTCTTCCTGTTTCACCAAAGGGCAAATGTTGACGGACAGTCTTCTAAGTGGGATCTGTGTCAGCTCAGAGACTCTGATACCTTAAGTCTTCTAGGTTTGGATTCTTACAATATCATCATTTTCCTGAAAGATCGCTCAAGGACTTTTGAGGTCCAATTGGCTTTTAAGGAAGTTGCCTTTGGGCCACGGAGATGTGTCACATGTCCAACATGTACAGAGAAAAGGGTTTGATCCCAGCACCTCAGAGTTTCCACAGCATCACCAAGAGTAGCCTTGGCACGGCTGGGAGTCCCAACCCCAGACTGGAGAAAAAAAAAGTTGCCTTTGACAATGAAGACTGCACAGTAGATGCAACCTGGCCCTTTTCAATCCTTGTCTCCTGGAGAGCGACATATTTCTAGATGATTAGAGAACTTCAGGTGGGAATGTCACTCTGCCTCTGGCTTTATGCCTTAAAATATGACCCAAGGCAAGCTATCATTTCCCAGAAATGAAATATGTCATATGTAACTATTAAAGTGAACCAGAAAAAAAGAGCATTCTATTACAATAATGGATTTTGTTTAAAAAAATGTAAATGTCAAATCCCCAAGGGAATAATACATATTTGATACTATTATTGGAACAGCAATACCAGTAATTGTACGAGGTACCTCTATTTGGTATTGTTCATATAGTACCGGGATTTTATGAATACCTTTCAGTAGAATTATTTTGTCAGAGGAAAATGAGAAACATATCAGCCATATTCATGCAATCAATATATATTTATGGGGGGGCGGCTGGGTGTCAGTCATTGATCGAAATGCAGAGAGGATAAAAAATAAAAGAATATAGCATCTTCCTGCCTTCAAGGAACTCACACTCCAGTTGAAAAGATACAGATAACAATGAACTACAATGCATGGCACTGCAGTTAGAGATAAGATTCTCCAGTGGGGCCATGCACAGCACCGTGAGGACATTTCATTCTGGTGAAGGAGTCTTTGCTATCCTTGGTGGCTTGTTAGAGTCAAGCTATATTTTAAAATAGTGGGATTAAGTGCATATTAGGCAGATGGAAGAGTCTGGGCAAAGATGTAGCCAGAGCAAAATTAGAGAGGAAAGCATGGCACCAGGGAAGGCTGAGTAGTATTTGTATAGCTACGGAGTAAGCTTGTCAGGCTGTCTGATGTCAAACACTATGATGGACTAGTTTGAGCTGAAGGAGGTTGAGTGATTTTTGAGTAGTATAATGTTATACAATGAATATATTTTACATTATATTCTATAGGGCCAAGGCTATGAGATTAGGAAACAAAATATTGCATGGAATAAAACTGTCATTCTCATTGTGACTCATCTGTGAATTTATGAAAATACACTTATATCAAGAAATGCAAGAAAATTGTTCACTTCACAGGCTTCTAAGTGGATTGAACTTAATTTAGCAGCATTAAAACCAATTTTCAACCAAGAAAACACGTCACAGGGGATGGCATGAACCTTTATGATTGTTAATAATATTTGATATTTTGATGTCACCTTTCATCCTGAGATCAGTCTTGTACACGTGGGAACAGATAAGCTCCAAGGAAAAAGAGATAATATTAATAGAGTAAATCACACTGCATATTCATCTCCCTTATTCCAAAGGGTTTCTGGCTGTCTTTTTTTTTTTCACCTAAGCAAGTGAATATGATGGTGCTGCAGTGGTGTTTTCCTCTTTTCCTCAGAGGAGAGCATGAATGCAGTCCCCACTACCACAAACTATTCTATCGAGTTTACCAACTTGGGGAAATCACAGGGGTCAGCACATCGGGAGTGCAATAGACAATCCTCACTCTGGGAAAAATTACCTTCAGGATCACGGTATTTCCCCTGACAGTAAGTATGATTTTTTCCATTTTGCTACTTTGGAATCTGGCAGCCGAAGACCTCCAGAACCAGCCACCACCATGCTGAGACCACTCTCCACACACATGAAGGTACTGGCAGAGGGACACATCCACGCGGGTTCCGGGGCTGAGATCTCCAAGCCTACTCGGATCGGGACTGAGCATCCTCCACCCAGATCCTCCAAATTCCAGTAGGCGGGGGTCACACCCACCAACTGGTCCCCTGGCACCGTGTAATCCCATCAACGGCCAAGACTCAGGGACTATAAAACCCAGCTCCCAGCGACATCTTATTTTCTCATTCCTACTTTTGACAAACTGGCTACCGAATGTAACCTGCCCACATGGCAGAGTCTGGCAAACTCCCCGTGGCGTACCCAATATGCCAAATACCAGTAACAATGATGGGTTTCATTCTCCTAACTCTGAAAGAGCCTTGAATATGGCACTTTTAAAAAAATCTCAGGGCTAGGACGAAGGGGACATTACTGGGGCCTGCTTGAGGCAATCGACGAATAACAGGATGGTCGTGATCGTCGTGATCACTACTTCTTACTATAAGAAGCCTTGAGAGAGAGTAAGGGCTAGAGATTTCAATGTACAGTCCTTTTTAGGTGTTCAGCTTTTAGATCATCTATTCCTTTTCCTCAATGTCTTTGTCTGCTGATCTTATTCTAAATAGAAGACACATCAGCAGTGAGTTGTGTTTTCATGGACTTTCAACTTTCTCAAGAGATCAACAAGTTTTTTGTTATCATCATCATCATGATTAGCACTGAACATCTGCACTATTCTATTAGTGTAAGAACTTTGTAGATTCACATTAACTAATCTCACACTAACATTATCTAGTGATATAGGCCAATGGAATTTTCTGTGGTGATGGAAATATGGTGTGTTGTTGAAGATGGCAGCTGCAAGCCACATGTGACTGTGGAGCACTGGAAAGGTGGCTAGTGTTACCAAGGAACTGCATTTTTCTTTTATGTAATTATAATTAAAATGATCAAAACAGCAACCTGGCCAGTGATGATTGTATTGCACAACACAGCTGTAGTGACTATTAAAAAAAAATCTGTTTCATTGTCCGTAAGAATTTAATGAGGACAAATGCTAGTGAATAGTTCCAAAATATTCTTGAAGCTATAAAATTTGGAAAGACATCCAATAATCTACATTCAGAGTATTTTTATTTAGTCTTTTCCCTGAAAAAGACTCTGTTAAAATCAGATTTAAAAGGTATCTGTGGACATTATGATTAGATTCATGTACAGTCTCCTGAACAAAGAACACTTACAAAAGATGTGGATGACGTCCACTGAAATCTCATTGTCATCCAACCATCCCCTGTGGTCATCAAAAGTAGGCACTGGTCCATTCACTAAAAATTGAAATTCCAGTTACTGATTTCCCAAAGGGGAACATTCGCCCTCATCTCAGTGGAGAAATAAAAGAGAGTTTTATGCTCTGGGTGTTAGTCCAGGAGAAAAACAGTCCTTAGATAAACAGCTAATTCACATTTTAGCCTTTCTCTCTCTAGAGTATTTCCCCCCATTGGTCTGGTCTGAGTGTGAGGACACGGGGGCATAAACATCTTTAAGGTGAAGGAACAGATGGAAAGACTGGATTAATACATTTCCGATCACTTCACTCTGTTACTTAGCTCTTACCCAGTGCTAGAGAAAGAACTTAAGTAGCCCTGGGTTTGGACCATCTGTTGAGGAAAATGACATATGTTTGCTTTGTTTACTCAACAACCAAGTATAAAGGGATATAAGTATCAGGGTGTGTGTGTGTGTGTGTGTGTGTGTGTGTGTGTGTGTGTGTGATGGGTGGAGTATTTGATGAGATCTTCAGTGTCCAGCAACTTGTCCCAGAGGAACACGTGCGCAGTTGCTGGGGACTGAGAGATGTCCCTGGGCTTTGGGGGCTTGCACGGAGCCCAGATACCCCAACAATAGCCTATCATCAGCCAGCCCAGCTGAGGGGTGCGCCTACTGATGTGGAGTTGAATGAAAAGCGATCCACCCGTCTTCTCTCCCCCTATTCTCTCCACCTGGCCTCAAACTTCAACCTAAACCCTTGCCCTTTTCAATTAACGCCCCCAAGATCACAAAGAGCTTTTCTTTTCTTTCCTCTGTGGTCCATTGTCTGGGATGATGGATTTGCACATTTGACAGCTGGGCTCTCTCAGACTTGACTCAAACTCTGTTTCCCTGAGAGATAAACTTGGGCGTCTGCAAAGATCCCAAATACCGAGTGACCGGGACAGGCTTTTGTCAACGCAGGCTGCTTCGCAGTGCCCTCTCTGAACCCAGTGTGGACTTGGTGGCCTGGCCGTTCCTGGCGTGTGTGCCAGGAGCTAAGTGCGCCTGTTCCAGGTTAGGGTGGAGGAACCACAGAAAAGCAGTGGTCCCAGGGATTGGGGTGGAGGGACTTGATGTGGGCTTGTAAATTTATGATTCTTTCTACATTTGTACTTGACATAGGCAAGATGGAGGTCAGCTGATCTCACCCCTAAACGCGGTCTGCAGCGGTTAAGATGCAGTGAGCCAGGGGCTCGGCTTTTGTCTTCATTCATGTCCAGGCGTTAGGAGCGAGGTAGACGTGGCGTGTGCGGTGCTGGTGTGTGAGGAGGGTGTGGGCGCCTCCCGCCAGCGCTCTCTGCGTGCCTGGGTCTGAGTGCATCCGTACAGCACCAAAGCTTGAGTCACGCCCGCGAGTGACGTGGGGAAAAAAAACTTTGTGTTCTCAAGAAGGGTCTAGTGGATTGCACCAGGGCGGAAATAAAAAAAGAGCTGAGAGAGGAGAGAGAGAGAGAGAGAGAGAGAGAGAGAGAGAGAGAGAGAGAGAGAGAGAGAGAGAGAGAGAATCTGGCAAGCGCTAACGCTGCGTGTCCGGAGCGCGCGCGCGTGGGGTCGGCCGAGCCCCACCGCCCCCAGAGTGTTCCTTTGCGGCGTTTGTTCCGGGAAGGCTTCGAGGACTGGCTGTGTGCTGCGGGCGGCGGGTGCAAGCGCAGGCAGAGGATCCTGCGGCCAAGAAATCCGCCTCGGAGCCCGCTTTTTCTCCGCGCAGCCTCTAACAACCGTTCCCATCCCTCTGCCCCGCATCTGAGCCTGTGGGCACATCTCAGAAACCGTCCTGGGCCAACTCTTGTCTTGCTAGCTCTCCAAGGTTAGCACATCCCCCCTTCCGGAGCAGAGAAACCCGCTCGGAAAGGGGAGCAGGGGGTGTGGGGGGGGAGGGGACAGCCCAAGGAAAAAAGCCAGCCAGCCAACAAAACTGCCTGCGCGCTGCAGCTGGACGTGGTCGTTTGAGTCCAGGTCGGTGGCATTTAGAGAGTTTTTGTCTTTGGGTCATTTGGGGAACCTACGGCTTCTTTCCCCCCATTACTCCTCGCTCCCCCTGTTGCAGGAGCCCCTCAACTTTGGCGCCTGGGGGGCGCGCGCGCGGGCGAGGGCTGCACCTGCCGGGGCGCCCGGGGGGCTGGCAGGAGGCGGCGGCGCGGCCGCGCGGGTCCGGGCGCTGCGCGAGTGTGTGCGCGGCGCCGTAGCCGGGGAGGGAGGGACGAGGACCCGCGGCGGGTAGGGGCGCATCGGCCCGGGTGTCGGCCCCGGCGGCTACAGCGCTCCCCGCACTCCGGCTGCCTAGGGAAGGGGCCGATCCCGGGGAGGAGGGACGAGGCGACCCGGGCGACGCTCGGCGGTTCGGGCGCGCGGACCCGGGCGAGCAGGGGGCGGCGAACGTCCCGGGAGCGGCGGCTCTTTCCGCGCTGGGGCCGCCGCCGTGCGAGCAGCCACCAACGCCGCCGCCAGCGTGGACCCGGGCAGCGACTCCGCTCGCGGCGCTGGGAAAGTAATTTCATTTATTTCTGGGCTTGCCCGCGGTCCCCGGGCTCGGACCCCAGGGGCATCCCCTTTGCACTTGGGGAGCCCGGGACTGACCGCTCCATCCCACAGCCTGCCGGGGCTGGCGGCTCCCCGGAATACAACCCACCCCCCCTACCCCCCCCCCCCAAACCCTGCAGCCCCTCCCGGAGCCCCGACCCGGGTGGGGGGAGCCAAGGAGCGGGCCCCAAAGAGTCCCCCAAGGCGGAGCAGGGGAGGGGGGAGACGGGCGGAGGGGGGGGGGCGGGGAGGCTCTAGCGCAGCCGACTGGTTTCAAAGCGCGCTCTCCCTTCCAGGTTGGGTCGGACCTGAACCCCTCAAAGCGGAACCGCCTCCCGCCTTCGCGCCCGCCGCCCGCCCAGCGCTGAGTGGCCGGCGGCGGCCGGACCCGGGACTTTTGCTCGCGCCCTGGATGGAGCTGAACTTTGGGCGGCCGGAGCAGCGCCGAGGCCCAGCGATCCCTGCCCGCTGAGCTCGCGTGGGGAGACCCAGCGGCGGCCCGGGAATTTGGGGGGGGGGCGGGGACCCACTGCGCTCCGGCACCATGTTCCTGGCCACCCTGTACTTCGCGCTGCCGCTCCTGGGTAAGTCGAGGCCGCCGCGAGCGTTTGTAGCCTCTGAATCTCTGCAAGGGGCGCTCGATGTATTCCCCCCTCTCCCTCACCCCCGCCCCCCGAATTGGCGGGGTGAGCGTGGGTAGCCGAAGTTTTTCTTTATTTCGCGGGTGGGGGACGGGATCCTGAATCCTCCGCACCTCCGGCTGGGGGGGGGGGGGTTGGGGCGGGGGGTTTGGTGTGCGGTGGAGGCGCGGCACTTGCCGGCAGCTTTTATTATTTTTTTTTTATTCTGGGTATATACTTTCCCTGTTCTTAGTAATCTCGCTTGGAGGGGTAGGAAGGGTCTGGGGTCTCTAGCCCCGGCCCCGGCGGCTCCCCCGTACCCCACCCCTCGCGCGTCTTGGGGAGCTCGAGGAGGCGCGGCGGGTAGATGGGGTACGGACGAGCGAGCGTTGGATCCGGAGAGTAAACTTTGGAGGGAAACTTTTCCCGGAATAGCGGAGCTCCCTGCCTGGCGGGCCGGGGACCCGGGCTTGCTCTCCAGCTTGGTGCCCGCGCACCCAGCCGATTGCGAGCGCCTCTCCCCGAGAGCCCCCCGGGCCTCAGGCTGGTGCTGGGGACCGCGGGATGCAGCGCTAGAGGCCGAGCAGCCGCGTTTGCGGACCGCCGGGGCGGTGGGTGGGCGCGCACCAGGGGGCTGCACCGGCTCCGGGGGCCGGACGCGCTAAGCCTCGGGGAGAAGGGATTGAAGGGGGGTGTGGGGAGCGAGCGGCGCGGTCCGGGCAGCAGGAGGAACCCGTACGGTCTGGGCAATGGACTTTCGGGGGGAGTTGGGGGCCGGGGTCCAGCGTCCGCCTGCACCCGCGGTCGGGCCGTCGGAGGGCGCGTGGCCCGGCGGCACTCACGCCCCCGCCTCTGTCCCCGCAGACGTGCTGCTGAGCGCCGAGGTGAGCGGCGGGGACCGGCTGGACTGCGTGAAAGCCAGCGATCAGTGCCTGAAGGAGCAGAGCTGCAGCTCCAAGTACCGCACGCTGAGGCAGTGCGTGGCGGGCAAGGAGACCAATTTCAGCCTGACCTCCGGCCTGGAGGCCAAGGACGAGTGCCGCAGTGCCATGGAGGCCCTCAAGCAGAAGTCGCTGTACAACTGCCGCTGCAAGCGCGGCATGAAGAAGGAGAAGAACTGCCTGCGCATCTACTGGAGCATGTACCAGAGCCTGCAGGGTACGCGCCGCCGCCCGCGTCCCTGCCCCCGCCCGCCGTGGCCCGGCCCGGCTGACCTCATCCTCCGCTCCCGTCTCCCCAGCTGCAGAATGAGGACCTTTCATTGGCCCCGGGGGACCGCGACAGCTGGTGTTTGTTGCCTTCGGAGCTAGCATTGTCGGGGGCCTGGTGGCCGGAAAGCCCGTGAGGGGGCGGGGGGCACCCCCAAGACTCCGGTGACCTCTCGGAAACTCCGGTCTGAGTTTAGGAACCCAGGAAAAGTCACAGGAGGTGGCCCGCAGTTTGCCACCTCGGGAGAGCCCGGGGGAGGGTCTAGTTTTAGCCCAAACTAGCGTTGGGACGCTTAACCGTTCTCCCAGACTGAGTCCCCTTCCCGCTTCTCAGTCCCTTCTCAAGGTTCTGACCTAAGATAAAGGACTAAGTGAAAAAGGTTTCTAGAATCCATTATAACTTTACCCCGCCCCCGCACCTGAGCAAAGGATTATGTGCAAAAAACCCATTTGTCATCTAAGATTAGTTGAGGCTTGAACCAGCTGGTGTAGATCAACCTTGGTTAACACAGATGTGGCTCCCTGCAGAGAAAGGTCCACTTGTCACCATCCTCCATTCCAGTGGGAATGGGGGCTGGGGGGTCTTTGTGCCCAGAGGTGGCAGCATTTGTATGTGTGACACAAACATGCTGTGAGTTCTTTTCCAACCGAGGTTTACAGTCAACTTCATAAGCTTCAGGTTTGCTCCAGGAAGAAAACTTGAAAAATTCAGAGTCATAAGTTATTTAGTGGCCCGAAGGACCTATATTTCTAGTTGTGGGGTGCAAGAAATGGGGACCTCTTTGGGGGGCACCTTTCTTCTATTGGCTCCCGCAGGCAAGTTGGCCTTGTGACGTCACTCGTCGGTCTGATTCCATTCCTGTACGAAGAGTGGAAGAGTTTTTTGGCAAGATCAGGCTGGGTTGCTCTCCAGTGTTTTCATGGCACTCTGGGGAGAGTGAGGACAACATAAGCAGGAATGAAAGGAAATAACCATCCCAAATAGATCACATTTGCAATCTTTGAAAGTCTCAGCATCTTTTTGTTACGCAATCATAACATAATTAGAATTCAGATTCAGTCACAAAAAAAACCCCAAAAAACCAAAAAAAAAAAAACCCTGCCTGAAATGTCTATTTTCTACGTTTGAGCCCAGTCTTTGTTGTTTTTAGGGAATGATCTGCTTGAAGACTCCCCATATGAGCCAGTGAACAGCCGATTGTCGGATATATTCCGGGTGGTCCCGTTCATACCAGGTAAGCAGATTTATTCTTCCACATTGGTGTCTTTGCTTGCTTGAAATCTGTTGGCTTGCATTCTCTTTGGCTCTCCAATAGTGCACGAGGAGGAGAGAGTTGAACGGCAGAATGTTCTGGGAAATTAGCTACAGGAGGATGATAATGAAGAGGCAGAAAGCTTAGAGCTGATCGTATGACTTGAAAGTAATTCTCAATGAAGTAATGTGGTGGGGTGGTTTGGAAGAGGCTGGAGCGGGGTGGAATTTTTTTTCCCCCACATTAAAATATGATTGGCCAACTCTTGCAGAGGGAGTGCCATTTCTGTCTGTAGGTGGCAATCGTAGTCTCTTCTTCATACGTTACTCAGTGCATCTCTGGAAATGGGATCTGTTCAAATGAAGCCACTTAGGACAGAGGTCTGAAGATAATCTTAGGTTGTTGAGGAATTTTAGATGGACTCAGTCATCTGCCTTCGATTTGAAAGCTTAAGCTCTCCCATTTGTCATCCATGCTTTTGCTTCTAATTTTTCCTGAACAAGTGTGTATGTGTGTATAAGAGAATGTACTCTCCCCGTGGCCTTGTAAAAAGTAGCTTTGCTTAACTGCGGCTTATTTGGTCTTTTTGCAATTCTGCAAAGGGAACTTAGTTTTAGAATGAAGTTTTTCATAACATCTGCGTTCAGACCACCTCATAAATAATGAGCAAGGCAGTAGTTTCTCTTAATGACATACAGATTTCAGACTGATACTGACTCTGTTGGTTTACAGTTAAGACATTTTTCTCAAGTACATAGAACTATCGTAAATGATATGTTTCCTGGTGGGTAAACATGGTGGTTAAAGTTGAATTTGATTCTATGAGATCGTAGTTTGTTATTGGTAAGAGTGTTCTGTTTTTTTCCTGAACATTTTGTTTTTCTGAAGAAAGCCTTAGAACCAATGGTATATGAAACATGGTATTACCTGGGAGTGAATTATGAACATTCATTCAGTCACAAACATGCACAGCGTACCCACTATGTTGGCACCGTGGAGATTTTGGCAGCCAGCCAGGTATTGCCCCTGCTCTCAGGAATCTTAGAGGCAGCCAGCAATTGGCATCTATTTAGCCTTTATTATAAGCCAGGCACTGGGAGAAGAACTTTACATCATTAGCTTATGTAATCATCATCAAGTGCTTCTTCAGTATTACGAGTATTTCCTGTGTAGAGAAGAGGCTAGTGGAGCTGTGTGAGGTAGGAAAAGCTTTCCTGACGTTTGCCTCTTGCTAATGAGTCTGTGATGCTCAGGCCAAGAGCAGTCTCACCGGGAAGCGACTCTTAGACCCATCCTAGACTTACTGAGTCAGAGTTTGCATTTTAAGATGATCTTTAGGCGGGATGCTTCACATGCACAGATGCACTGGAATCTTGGAAAGCAGTTCTCTGTATCACTCTGTTCCTTGATTCAGAGGAAGAGAGAGAGAGAGAGAGAGAGAGAGAGAGAGAGAGAGAGAGAGAGAGAGAGTGTGTGTGTGTGTGTGTGTGTGTGTGTGAAACAGTCAAGCCTGTGTGACCATCTGGAGTCTCCTGAGAGCAGGCAGGTCTAGTGAACTTGGGTGCTGTGTGGATGCGAAGGTGTCAGAAAAAAAACATTTTGTTGCTGGTGCTTTTGAGGGATGGTGCCTGCCGCGCATGCCATGGAAGTGCTCCTCAGTCCTCAAACTGGCGCTGACTCCAAGACTAAGGACATGTGTCAGAAGAAGGAGCATTTGAGTCTTGATATGGAAACTTCTATGAGTTATTGGATTCAAATAGGCAAATTTCCCCTCTCTCGGTCTCTTCTTGGTTGGTTTTCTGAGGCCTGGAGAGTAAATTGTTTCCAACCCGAATAGCCTGTGAGCTCCAGAGAAGCCAAAGACATCTCAAGAACCTCCCCACTGCATTTTGTTATTGTTGTGGTTTGGGAGTCATACCAGGCAGTGCTTAGGGCTTACTCCTGGCTGTGCTCTCAGGAATCACTCCTGGCAGGATTCAAGGGAACATATCGGATACTGGGGATTGAACCCACGTCAGCAGCATGAAAGGCAGGCACCCCACCCACTGTACTATTGCTCCATCCCTTCACTGCATCCTTGAGCTATCTTGTCAACCCTGGTGTCCATTCTCCATGTAAAGGGCCTTGAGGCTCCTTGGAGACCCCTGTTCCATCTGCATTTCAGTTATAAGAAATTCTCTGGTACAGGCCAGGGTTTATGTTTTCATCAAGAGGATCCATCCCTCAGTTTTCTTTTCATAGGAAACTCCATCTAGAGTGCATGAGGCCTCCGATTCAGGGGGCCCAGAAGTCATCACGAATTAATCAGAGACCAGGAGGCCTTGTCCAGAGCTCCATTCTCCCTCTCCAGGGCATTGAATTCAGGTTCCAGTCCTAATGAGCTTTGACCTCTGACTGCGATGTGTTCCTTAAGTGGGTGTAGGAAAGCCAAATGGAGCCTTGAGAGGTTTTAAGTCGTTGAATAATGCATATTATCCCGCATGGCATTTGTACGGGGAGGACGGAGGAGCTGGATGACAGATGTGGCCACAGTCAGAGTTTTTCAGAACGTCTCCTCTATCTTGAACGTCGCCCTGAGGAAACCAGGACAATGGGATGTTTTACAGCGAGGGGAGCCATCCGAGTTTCCATATTTGGATTCCTCGGCCCTGTGTGAGGAGAATGTTTATCCACACATCTTCAGGGAGAGCTGAGTCCGCTCAGCGAATAAGACATGTTTGACAAGCTTGCATTTCTACTTTTTTGGGCCTCCTCCACCCAGGGCTGTGTTTCCTCTGTTTACTTGATCACCAGTTCAAAGGCTGCGTGGAGGTAGTAGCTGCGGCCTGGCAGGGCCAAGGAAGGAACCACAATGAGGTAACTCTTAGAAAATGTGGCCTGAAACCCAAGTTAGGGATTTCTGTGGGCGCTTGGAGGGCTTCCGTTCCTGGAAACTGGGTAATGGGAGCTGTGCCCTTGGGGGCACTTTTCTGGATAGAGACAGGGGCCTTTCTCATGGGCTTGGATGCCAGTGTGGTTTGGATGGCAACATAAAGAATTAGTGAACAGGAATCCTCTGAAGAAAAAGTAAGCCCACACCAGCAGAACATACCAGAAAAGGGGTGAGAAGGGCAGTGGTGTCAGGGGACCCAGCGGGAAGGTTGTGTGGGCAGTGAGGCTCTTTGTTGGCCTCTCACCCAGTTTCGAGCTTACTTTAGCCTCCACATGGCCTCACCTTTTCTTCTTCATGAAAGTCCAAGACTGGGCCAGAAGTTAACAGTGATTTGAAAGGAAGAAGAACCTGTGGGCAATGTTTTTGGACTCCTCTGGGGGCAGAACAAAGCAGCCAGAGGTTCTGAAAGAACAGTGGCTGCCAAGAGGAAGCCCGAGGGTGGAGGATCAGACAGGTTAGAAGCGCCAACGAGACAGCAAGAGACAGAAAGGGTCCTGCAAGTTCTCAGAGCATCGACTTTGGCTGGGCTCTGTGGTGCAAGAGTGATGTCCGGATATGAACAGCCTCACTCTGACTTGGTGGGAGGCAAACTCCTCACTCTGTCTCCCTCTCCATTTCCATGCCAAGTTCTAGGAGGAATTTGGAACTTCCCTGGGAGCCTTCCAATGCCAAGATTGGACCCCAAGTAACTGGAAATGGTTTGCATCTCTGAAATAAGATGTCCCCAAGCTCTCTTTGAAGCCTGTCTTCCCTTTCGTTTTCCCCTGAACACCACTATGAATAATTAGCTGTGTTTTGCTTTTGCTGTTTTAATGTGCCATCAATACTGATGACAATATTTAAAAAAAACTACTCTAAAAATGGTCCATGTTGAAGAAGAGTCATCAGAGGTCAGCGTCTGTCTTGTCAAACTCTGACAAGAGAAAGCGGCTTCAAAACACCAGCTGTTGGGGGTGTGTGGGGTCCCTTCCGTGGCCCTGGGCTGTCTGAAGCAGCGTTCTCATCTGTGGGCTTGAATTGGCAAGTCTGACTCCTGTTCCTTCCACTTCTCTCTTCCCGCCTATGAGAGGGTCCCAGGCAGGTCAGCCGGGCTGATCTGCCTCCAAGTCCCATTACCTCCCCTCCATTTGTGCTCGCTGAGCCAAAACATCCCCTGGGGGTTTCCATGCCACCTGCTTTGCTTGGGCCTCTGCATGTGGTTCTGCGTCTGCTGGGGAAGTTGCTTTTACTTCTTCAGGACCAGGTCTGGAAGGACTGTGCTGGAATCGCCTGGCAGGTCCCTTCCTTCATGCCTGCCCAGTGCCTGCAGGCCTTGATGAGAACTGTCACACATCCATAGTGACAGCTCCACAGGTGACTCTCACACTGGAAAGTGCAGTGGACGCTGACTTGCTTTGCAGCTGGGTATCTTGTCTTGGGTGACATGTTCTCCATGGCACTGTGCCTGAGTCCTGTGACCCATGGGAGGTTGGATAGTGGAGAAGGGATGGTGGTTCCCTTCTGGACCTCTAGACTATTACCCAATTGACAGTCAGAGGACAGGAGCAATTTTACCAGGGCCATGCTGCTGGGAATTAACCAGCAGGACAGGGTTCTGCCAAAGAGGAGTCCCTATTTCTGGTCTGCAAACTCTCTAGATGAACGACCTGGACCTGGCTCCTCCAGTACCAATTCCAGGGCTTCAGAGCTGGCTCTGACTTGGCCCTCCTTTGAGTACTTCTTGTGAGCCACATTTCCAGAGTCTGGGAATGCTCCCTGCCCTCTCCTGATTTGCCTGGGACTCCAATATTCTATGATGACATCATGTGCCCAGTAGCCTGACATACACTTTTGAGGTCACCTGTCACCTTTTGTGTCTTCACCCCTCCTCATACCCGGAACCAAGTCCTGATGAAATAATCGGCCATCATCTCATGCATTTTCATCTCTCTAGTATTTAGGAACATCTGTCTGATGATCTCTTGGAACTTGGACTGGCCTTCTTAGTGACCTCTTTCAGTCTGGTTTCTTTCTATCCAGGTGACCATTACTGTGACCAGATCTTGTCTTG